AAAAAAAAAGATTTACAATTCCGTGTGGAGAATGTGGGGCAACAGGAGCTCTCAGACCTTGTTGGTGGGAGTGTAAATTGGTACAAATCCTTTGGAAAATGGTTTGGCTGAATTCACTATTGCTAAACATACAACTATTTTATAATCCTATGATCTATGGCCCAGCAATTCAGCTCCAGGGTATAGCCAAATGAATACAAATGTCTAGCAAAAAAAAAAAAAAAATCTGCACATGAAAAATTATAGTTGCTTCATTCACAATAGCTACACATTGGAAAAACTCAAATGTCAGTCACTGGTAGAGTAGACAAAATTGTGGTATTTTCATACCACATAATTCAGCAATAGACAAAAATAAACTGGTGCTAAAGACAATGACATGGTTGAATTCCACAAACACAATGATGAAGGATAGAAGCTAGCCACAAAAAGTACGATTCCGTTTATATCAAGTTTAAAAGGCAAAGTTAATCTATAGTGCTAGAGGTCGGAATAGTAGTTATCATTGGGGAGGGGCAATTAGTGACTGGAAGGAGCACAGTGCGGTCTTCTGGAACACTGGACAACTTCCGCTTCTTGTTCTCGGCGTTGGTTACATGGGTGTTTATATGTGCAAATGTTCACCGGGTGGTAGAGTTTAGATCTGAGCGCCTTACTACATATATGCTACCAACACTATGATATTTCTCAGTGGTGGTCTTAGGTGGTCTTAGATGCTGGTCTTAGGCCACCATCGACGCATGTGCACAAATACATGCAAAGGCATTTCTACTCACACCACTTCACGTGTGCACTTGTGATACCCTGCTTTTTGCCAGCTGAAAGTCACTCTCCTTTCCCTGACTAAAAGTTGTTTAGGTTTTATGTTAGCCTTTTTGAGCTGAACAGACTCCATCTTGGCTTCTGCATTTTAGTAACCTTCTCCCCATCAAGTTTGTAACTATAGTATAAAGCAAGGTCAGGCTGACTCTGGGCACCCAGAAATGCCTTTGTTGATAAGAGGCCGAGTACAGTGGTACCCGCCGAGCCTGGAAACGCAGCTGCAGTGAGTGCCTAGAGCCCGCCTTGTCTCCAAGTTGTATGTCTTTCATGACAGCTGTACCCCTCACACTGGCACTGTTTTATTTCTTAGGTATCAGCTTTTCTTTTTAACTCTTTGCTTACTCTGCCCTTGTGAAAACTTTGTTTCAGCTAGGTTCCCCACTTCCTGTTAAAACTAGTGTATAAAAGATCACCTAACTTTTTCTTTGGGGCTGAGAGAATTTTGGACGTTAGCCACTCTCGGTCACCGGCTTAATAAAGGACTCATAATTCATTCTCAGAGTGTGGCGCATTCCTTGACTCGCTCGGGTACAACACACTCAGCACACACACAGACACGTAGAGTCGCCTGCAGGAGCCTCTGACACAAAGGCTTGCATACAAAGTACACGCACACCCTTGCTCCCAGGCAGAGGTTAAAGGCAGGGTGCTGTCCAGGTTCGCGCCCTCCGATCCCTCCCCTCACTCACTCAGGCCTCCCAGAAAGCTTCCTTCTCTTTCTTCATTTTCCAGGTCTGGTCTGGTTTTGGACTCCTGGGCTAGATGAAGGCAGCTGCCCTGCCTGTGGTCTGGGTCTCCATCCAGGGACTTGCCTGCCCTATGGTGCTGAGGTCATGACCCGCCTTGGTGGTGGTTTGAGGAGTGACAGGACCTTGTACATTTCCGGCTGGAGATTTTTTCTGCTCCTCTTGGGAGTGAGAGGGCCTCTTTTAATCCCTGGTGGGTGACCCAGATTAGATATGGAGGGAGGGTCACTGGGCGTTGCCTGCTCCATGGCTAAACATAGTGGACACAGCAATTGGGAGAAGCTCTTTCTTTTCCCCTTGAACTTGAACCTGTAGCCTGCTGGAGGAACATGCTCGGCCTTGCCCGTGGGTGCCTCTAGGCCACGGGCAGCTGAGTGGTATAGCACACAGCCAGGCTCTGCAGTCTGCAAGGGCCGAGTCAGAATACAAGCCCTGCCTCTTGTTAACTGTGTGCTTTCAGGCAAGATCCTTCACCTCTCTGAGCTCCAGGCTTACCCTCTATAGAGTGGGGACAATAAAACGGGCCTCAAAAGACTACTATGAGGATTACATGAGTTATCTGGTGGGAAATGCTGGGCTCTCACATGGGGACTTCCTTTCGTCTGCCTTCCCATCGAAACTGCCTTTGCAAAATGATGATGGAGACAGTGAAAGAGATCTAACTCAACCAACTCCATCTTGCTTCTAACCTCCAAGCTGTCTTCGTGCCTTAGTTTATTGTTTAAATAAAGTCAGTGACAGCCCTTTCCCAAAGCAGACCTCCTTCTTGGCTGGGGACTAGACTGTAACATTAGCCACAAGATTAGAGATTGTGGTTTAGGAGTCATGCAGCTGGAGGCTACAAGATTCTGACCCTCCCCAAACTGCTCCTAATATCAGTGCTTGAGATATTTTGCAGACCCTGCACTTGATGGATCAGCTGGCACCACCCAGATCAATAAACTGGCTCATCCGATCTTGTGACCCCGACCCAGGAACAGACTCAGTGCAAGAAGATCTCTCCAACTCCCTGTGATTTCATTCCTCACCAGTCAGCCTCCCAGCTTACTGGCTTCCCCCCGCCCACCAAATTAACCTTATAAACTCTGCTCCCTGAATGCTCAGGGATACTGATTTAAGTAGTAATAAAACTCCAGTCTCCTGCACAGCTGGCTCTGTGTGAATTACTCTTTCTCTATTGCAATTCCCCTGTCTTGAGGAATCGGTTCTGTCTCAGCAGCAGGCAAGGTGAACTCCTTGGGCGGTTCCACCCATCCTCTGCACCTCTGCAGTGTTTATCACAGTACTTCTTCCGTAGGGTGGTCAGTGTCTCCTTTTCTTTTTTCTTTCTTTCTGGTTGCTTTTTAAATTTAACATTTTATTTTTAATTGTCACATAATGACTTTCTCATTGCCTTTGTACCTGTGGTGTTTAGCACCAGGCTAGTACCCTAGTAAGGACTTAATAAATGACTGTGAACGGGACTGAACATTGAGCTCTGCATTGTAGTTCATTCCCAGCCATCTCTCCTCCACTGTCACCAGGGCTGGGTGGAGGAGACTGTTTCCAGGCTGAAGACAAGACCCAATCGGGCAACTCTGCCTTGTTGTGGCTAGAGTCCAGTTACAATAATATCAACAGTAATTCACACCCAACTGGCACGTAACAGTTTACAAAGGCCTTTCATCTAACTTGCCAAGTCAAGGGTAAAAAGTCTCCATATCAGTTGTCTGCCAACCAGGATGGGAAACATTAAAGAATTAATTATTAAACTAAACAAAAGCTTGTGAAGCATCTACATGGTACCAGGCAGGATTCAAAGACAGATAAGAAATCATCACAGCCAGATGGGGAAAATAGTGCCCAAACAAGATGGTGAGGGTCTGTCCCTGAGAAGCTTGCTTCCTGGTGGAGAGGAGGGTTGGGGTTAGGGGAGGACAGGCCATATACAGATACACCAGAAAAGATCAGAGAGGGGTAGGTGCTGTGCCGAGAGAAGTCCAGGGTGAGAGGAGACAGAACCTGGATGGAGACTGAGAATGGGAGCTCTAGGAAGGGGCTCAGGATGGTTAGGGAGGATCTCGCTGGCCTCCCTAGAGGAGGTGACAAGAAGGAGCCAAGTAGGAAGGAACCAGCTTGAGGGGTTGGAGGAAGTGAATAGAGATGGGCATGGCTGGCGCAAGGTGAGGACATGAGGAGAGGGAAGTTGGTGGTAAAAAGACGCCATAGGTGTTTGAAAGATACAGGCAATAGGCTTTGCCGAGAGATTGGGTGTTCTTGGGTTTTAGGTACGTAGGTGAGAGGGTGCTTGCTGAGCTGTGAGAGGCTAGAGGAGGGGCTGGTGGAGCAGGGAAGTGGGCCCTTTCCTGTCAATTCATTCTTTTCCACTGAGTCTACCTGTGCATGCATGCCTGCATTCGTTGAGGTAGGTAGGGCCAGTTTCTTTTGCTTATTGGTAATTTGACAAATATTCACTAACACCTTTGATGGACCCGGAATTGTGCTAGAAGCTGAGGCACAAAGGAAGCTTATATTCTGCACTTTCTGGGGCCTTGGAGTCCTTATCACTGAACTAAACAGTGGCTAATTTTGTATGTGTGTGTGTGTGTATGAGAGAGAGAGAGAGAGAGAGAGAGAGAGAGAGAGAGAGAGACAGAGTCTCATTCTGTCACCCAGGCTGGAGTGCAATGTTGTGATTTCAGCTCATTGCAACTTGTGCCTCCTGGGCTCAAGCTCTCCTCCCACCTCAGCCTCCCCAGTAGCTGAGACTACTGGAATGTACCACCAAGCCCAGCTATTTTTCATTTTTAAATTTTTTGCAGTGATGAAGTCTCACTCGACTGCCCAGGCTGGTCTTGAACTCCTGGACTCAAATGATCTGCCCACCTCAGCCTCCCAAAGTGCTGGGATTGCAGGTGTGAGCCACCATGCCTGGCCCTTAATATGTTTTCAATTGCTATTAACTGAGTAGTATTTGTGGGAAAAAATTCCACGCCTGTTTGAAACCAAAAGAGAGAGAGAGAGAGAAAAAGAATAAACTAAAGCAAAACCACAAACTACAATGACAGGACTGTGACTATCTTGTTAACCATGGCTTCCCTGATGTCTCCTACAATGCACTGTGCATAATGAGTGTTGAAAAAATATTCGTTGGATGAAAGAATTAATGATTATATCTCAGTTTGAAAACTGAATCTCAGGTCAGTCTTTATGAAGCTGACCAGTATATTCAGGCAATGACATATTAGGCTGCAGTCAACACAAATGAACTATAGGGAAACAAAATAATATGGATGGTATTAGAATGTAATATTATGGGAAAAAGGAAGCACAGGCTCTTTTCCATAGAGAAGCAAGGGAATGATGAACATGGGGTTTGGGATGAACTTACCTGGGTGGGTAGCTTCTCCATAGTCTCTGGTCTATGAAATATGTACAGCCAATATTTGTTGAATTAATAAACACAAGACACTTCCCCTACCCACCTCAGGAGGGGGACAGATATGTGTGTGTAGGAGTGGGAATCTCATGGCTAGAGGTAGGTTACTATTAAGTCCTAGCTTTTATTGGGAATGGTGGGTTTATGGAGGATTATTACATTGTTAACACCAACTAACTAGCAAGTTACAAATGCACCCTGCAAGGAACAAAAGTGAAAAAGCCATGAAACAAAGATCCTAGTTCCCCCAGTGCTATGCACCCAAGACTCAAAGAGAACATAGAAAAGCCATCACCAGGCTATGCTGAGTGGCTTGAGGAGGTCAAACTCATGTCCTCACCATGCCTGAGTTTTTCCGTGAGTGGCTCATTCTTTGGATTTTCTTGAAGCTCTTTGGCAAACATCTCTGACGCAGAGACATCAGAGATGATGGACAGATACCCTTCTGGAAGAGAAGCTGCAGAAGGTCATGAATACTGGGCTGATGGGCAGGGAGGAGGTAGGTGCATTTTAGTAGGCCTGTGAGTGTTCATTGGGGAACATCAACGTCAATGACATCCCTGAGCAGGATAGAAATAGGGACTTATGGCCAGCTGCATCTCCTCTGAGCCCAGAAGCAACAATCTTGAGCTAAGGAAAGGACAGAATGGGGCCGAGAGATGTGGGTACCAGGTAAGAGTCAGAGATCCAGGAAGACCCCATCACCATGATGGGTCCCTGCCATGACTATAAGATGTAAAGCTGAAACAAGGCAACTTCCTTATTTTCAGATGAGAAAACAGAGGCCAGATAGAATTGTCTTAACCTGGAGTTAATAGAAGGAAGGAGGAAATTGAGACATCACAAAACAACACATGCGCTTCCTTCTGCTCTGCTGGAGATGTATTTATTTATCCCCAGCTTGAACTCAGCTTCTGGCTACAATTGTTACAGCCCACGCCCAGCCCAGACCAGGCAAAGGCATTGGCCTTTCCCTTTCTGTTTTGGCCACTGGCTGGGCCTGGCCTGACTGCTCTGTTGATTCAGTCTTCCATAGAGCTCTGACTCATGGGTCCAGCCCAGCCAGTGTCTGATCGGGGGTTCATCCGGGAATGAAGCTCCTGCTGTCTGGAGTACAGTGGAAGGGCAAGAATGCCCAGGCCCTCAGAGCCTAGGCAGCGGGGCGGTGGTGAGGTGGGGAGGCGGAAGTGGATGGGTTTCAATCCCTAGAAAACTTGTCATTGCCTGATCTACTCAGAGAATCTTCTTTTCCTGCTTCTCGGTTTGTTTCCGGCAGCAGGAAGTCATTAATCCAAGACACAAATGTGCAGGCAGAACCATTAGTTACCGCAGTTGGATATTATAATATAATTTACGATGTCCTTCTTTCATAAGTGCTGTCCTATATAATCCATGGAACAACCCTGAGAAATTATCCTCATTTTACAGAAGAGGCAGCTGCTATGGCTTCGGAGCAAGTAAGAAACAGATCTAGCCCCTTGGGCCCAGTTTCTGGACTTCATGGACTGCTAGTTTCTTTTCCCCATGGTTTCAGAAACTCATCTGGGTAACAGTCATTAGCTGGTGCTGGGTCCTTTTAAATTACTCCTCCTTTGCAATGCAGGCTTGCTGGATATAATCAGCATGAAATCTTCACGCAGAGATTGCCCCCAGCATCTCCCCAGGTCTTCCTTGGTCTGAAGGCAGAGTGACTTTGCTCGGTTCTAGGTTCTGCCATATCATCCATGAGTGGGGTCAGGAGACCTCCCTCAAAGAGCATGTTGGGAAAGGGGCCTATTGCAGGGCTTGGCTCCTAGGAGGGGTTTTATTGACATTAGCGTTCATTCTTCCCTTTCTTCCATTGAGTTTCCACCCTTCTCACCTGCCTCTCCTTCCTTTATTCCTATTCGCCACCCCTACCACTGCTTTAGATCATGGGGAACCTCCTGGTTGGGCTTAGCTCAGCTCCAAAAATAGGATGGATGTCTTAGGGCCCGCTTCCTTTTTAGCTCAGAGATGATGAAGCCAGATACAAGGCAGCTCTTATTTTTCAATGGAGTGAAGATTAAGTGGCTGCAGAGAAGCCACCAGCCTGGGGAGTATGGGTTCTTACCTTGCCTTGTCTTCTGTCTTGTTGTGTGGCTTTGGGCACACCCCTCAATGTCTCTGAACCTCAAGGTCCCTTTGGGTAATTGGGAACTATCTTTCAGAGATGGGATGAAAGGGTTAATACCCTCACGATGAAACAGACAAGCCCACCAGGCTAATAAGGAGGGGGAGAAGAGGCAGCAGCTTAAGGAGGCCAAAGGCACAGAAAGCTCGGCCAGCTCCTGTCTGCCTCCCTTGCCAAGCAGCCTGTCCCTGGGGCCTGATTTCTCTCTTTCTCCCTGCAACGCTGACTTGGCATTGCTCGCTCTGAAAGAAGTCAGTAGGGGCAGAGCTGGAATGACCCGAGTGTGGACAAAGGGAGAAAAGTAGGGGCACAGAAAAGGGGCCTCCTGACCCTGTTCCTGTCTATGGCAGCGTCAGTCTTCCCTGGAGTCCAAGGCCCTGGCTTCCCATGATCTCATATGAAAACCTAGAGCCAGAGAGGCTGCTGTTGCTAGGTGATGAGATAAACAGGTCCTCTGAGACTTGGGCAGGTGGCAGCTAGGTTGCTGAGGCCAGTGACAAGCAGTGGGGAAAACCCAAGGGAGGGGGTGGGGAAAGTTCTTTGGGTGAGCCAAGAGACCCAGAGGCGCTGGCAGTCAGCTTGCAGAGTGTGGCCCGGCCACAATGCTCAGGGAGCTCCTCTGAGGGAGCCTCACTCTGCTCTCTGACCCTGGAACCTACATCCCTCCCCCAAACCAACTGCAAGCAGCTGTGTCCTCTCCACTTGCAGCTGGAATAGGCAGCTGGATGCCTTTGCTCTGCTGGAAGCCGGGCTCTCTCTCTTGGATGTCTCAGCCATGACAGGTAAGGGGAGGAGAGGGCTGCTGAGGGCTGGAAGATCATGGGGCAGGAAAGGAGGGAGTGAGCCTCCTGACATGAGCCTGGCTGTGATGCAGCTCAGAGTGCATGGGACGTCCTCAGAGATGACTGATCGTGCCTGCTACCAAGTGTCCCGGGATCTCACCTGTTACTCTGTCTCCAGGCAGGTCGGCCACCAGCCCAGGCCATATGCAGTTGGGCATCTAAGCTCTTGCACAAAGAGAATTTAGGGAGCATCCTCACAAACGCTGCCTTGTGTTAGGGATGCTTAGAGCAGCACTTTTTTTTTTAGGTCTAACCTCAGCCTCAGCTGCCACATTAGAAACCATTTTGCCTTGTTCTAAACAACATAGGTGCTGACCTGTTGGCAATTTGAGCCGAACACTTCAGCCCCCATCCCAGCACATAATGGCTCCAGGGCAGGCCTGGGGCAGAAGGGGTCAGGTAGCCTGCCATTATCCCCTGCCAGCCTGCTGTTCAGCTCCTGTCATTAAAGAATCAGCCTTTGTGTTTGGGTGTAGTTCTTAGCCCCACGAAGGGCCGGGAGGCAGTGAAGATGTAACTATCCCTGTTTCACAAATGGAGAAACTGAGGCACAGCAGTTATGCTCTTTCCCCAGAGACAATGTGCAGGGCAGGACTGAGGTATCTACATGCCATTGGCTGGATTAAACTGAACACTGCCCTGGCTCCCACTGGAGGGCCTTTGCTTCCAGGCGGTGCCGCTGTTTACTGCAGTGCTTCAAATCCCTCTGCGATCCTTCTCTTGGTCCCAGGGGAAGCAGCCCATTCTCTCCCACCTTTCTGAACTCTCAACAATTCTACTGTGCTCAGCTTTCCTTCTGTCCCAGGGTGGCGGGTTCATCCAAGCCTACCTTCCCTTCCTGGAAGGGTCTGATGGGAAGGGCGGTGCCACCGTCTTTGCACACCTGAGGACAATGCCTGGACAATGGAGTGGACTCGAGAAGGCCACAGGGGTCCCGCCACACAGTCCGGCCTTCCAGCCTGACAGGGACTCTGACGGGTTTGCCCCTGAGAAGGGCTGATGGAGCTTAAAGCTTAGAGGAGTTCTCTCAACTTTGCTATTTACCTGAACTGAAGAGCTGCCATCCATGATGCAGTCTGAGGTTAATTTAAAAAATTCAAAGACAGAGTTTATACCACCTTTCAAGAATCGTACTCACTTTTGCTTGTCCTGAATTGTTCTTTAAACTTGAATGTGGTGGGAAATGGTGGGGAGGGAAAAGGAACTTTGGTGTTAGAAGATCTGACTCCTCTATCTGCGGAATGACTTTGAGCAAGACACTCAGCAGCTCTGGACCCAGTTTCCTTCCTTGGAATGTGGGCACGATAAAAGTGACCTCACAGGATGATGGGGAGAAAGGTTCGGTAAGGCGCTGCACCTGCTCAGCACCATGCACCTTTTCAAGCCCCCGGGAGCCCCATTTGGTCCTTTCATGATTTTACAGACTTGCTCATGGTCCCTTAGGTTGGTCTTTGCAGTATGAAAGGTCTCAGCTGCCTTGATCGGAAGGGGGTTGTCCCTTGATCCTGCTCCTCCTGAGCTCTGAGTCAGGCACACTGGCCTGAATCCAGCCACGTAGTCTTGAGCAAGTTAATACATTTTTCTGAGTCTCATTTTTTCTCATCTGTAAAATGGGGAGAATATGACTTACTTCACAGGGTTGTTGGTGAGAATGAATGATGGCACATATGCTGTGCCTGGCTTGGTGCTTGAAATACAGAGGAGTTTAGTAAGTGAAAATTAGTGCCCTCTGCCCCAATTACCCTACAGGCATGGGGAGCAGGACTCCACACATGCACAAGGAGGGTCTGCACTGTGGTTCCATACAGGGGCAGGGTTGAGCATTCCCGTGTGTTCTGGAGGCCCCAGCGGTAATCAGCCTTGGTGGGCCGGTGTGGCTGCTGCAGCCAATATCCTGGCACAGGTCTCAGTGGCTCTGAGATGTCTTTCCTGTGAACTCTGAGCTCAGGATCCTATAAATAGGCCTTTAATAGTGCTTCAGTGTCTTCTCTGCATCTCTGACTTTGTAGTTGCATAACCTAAAGTTCCTTTACCACTTTCCTGCCCACTCACAGAACTTGAGTGCTTCATGAAGTTTTTCCTTGCTGAGATTTCATTTGCCAGGAGAGGCTGTGTTTTACTGTGCTCAGAGCACAGGCCATGGAATCCTGCAGCCTGGGTCTGAATCCTATTTGCTCATCGGCCTGAGGCTTTAGGCAAATTATTGAATCACCAAGAGTTTCGATTTCATGTGTGTGTGAAAATGAGGGAGAAACAGAAAAAGAGATGTAGTAATCTCCCTCCTAAAATCCCCCAGAAATGCACAGCATATAGTACATTGCCTGGTACATGGTAAGAGTATAGTAATTGTGGTGTTTGTTTGTTTGTTTTGAGACAGAGTCTTGATCTATGGCTCAGGCTGGAGTGCAGCGGCGATCTTGGCTCACTGCAACCTCCGACTCCTGGGTTCAAGTGATTCTCCTGCCTCAGCCTCCCGACTAGCTGAGATTACAGGCGCCCACCACCACTCCTGGCTGATCTTTTGTATTTTTAGTAGACACGGGGTTTCACCATGTTGGCCAGGCTGGTTTCAAACTCCTGACCTTGTGATCTGCCTGCTTCGGCCTCCCAAAGTGCTGGGGTTAGAGGCATGAAGCACTATGCCCAGCTAGGAGTACAATAATTGTTAACTGTAATAATAATAATAACAGTAATAATAGTTTACTCATTTAGTAAGGCATCTTTCTGGGCGCTGGACATCTAGCAGTGAACCAGAGGCAAAGCTCTTTTACCAATTATTAATAACAGTATTACTAATTATTAATTATTAAAATAATAATAATAATTAATTATTAAAATAATAATTATTAGTTATTAAAATAGAACCTGGGTAGTTCAGGACATAGTATATACTCATACTCAAAAATTATTTATTGTTAATGGGAAGGAGCTTTATAAAGAGCCTGTCATGTATGTCATAGGAACTGAACAAAGAGCTATTTTTATGACTTCATGGGTCCCAGGGCCTGGTTTCAGCAGGAGACTCTGGAGTAAGTGCATCTGGGGAGAGTGACCAGGGCAGTTAGGGGACTGGAGGTGATGCCATGTGACCTATGTGAACTGTCTCTGAAGAGAGCGTGGAGGACGCAGTTCAGAGAGGAAAGGACCAGTGGCAGCATGAATGCTTCGGGTGTGTGGCTGTCTGAGAAAGGCACAAGGCAGTTAGAGGAGGAAGGGGGAAGGTTACAGAAAGTCTTTTCTCCTGGCAAAGGAAAGATTGTTTTCAGCAACTGTAGCTTCTAGAAACAGAAGTGTGAGCAGGATTGTGAAGGTTTCTGTGGCAGATGAGGGCCAGGGTCAGATGAGGGCTCTGAGCACCCTGGGGGGATTCGACTGAGCACCCCCAGCAGTGCAGCAGAGGAGCAGGGAGGCAGGGCAGAAGTGGTGGTGGGGTTGGGGGGGGAACAGTCCTTTCAAACTTTGCAGCTCTCTTTTTCCCTCTGTGTGCCGTATGGGGGTTCCGCATCTGATTTCAGTTGATTGGGGACCCAGTCGCCTAGAAGACCTCTAAGGTTCTTTCCTTAGGGTCTATGATTCTGAAGAGCTCACTTTCAGTCTGAAATTTCTCTTGTATCCTCCCACAGATAAGATTAGATCTTGATCCACTTATAATATTCTCTCTTTAAATCAATTTTCTATCCTTAATGGTCTCCAGGGTTTTTTTCTCTGAGCAGCATTGGGTATGAAACTTTAGTCTTCTTGAAAGTCTGAGTTAATTATAGCCACTGGTTTCCCTTTGCCCTTGGCTAAATGACCCTTTCCAAGTCATGAACCTCTTTGAGCCTCAAGTTCCCTCTTCCCTCCCCTCCCTCCCTTCCCCTCCTTCTCTTCTTGAGACTGAGTCTCACTCTTTTGCCTGGGCTGGAGTGAAGTGGTGTGATCTCAGCTTACCGCAACCTCCGCCTCCCAGGCTCAAGCAATTCTCGTGCCTCAGTCTCCTGAGTAGCTGGGATTACAGGCGTGAGCCACCATGCTCAGCTAATGTTTGTATTTTTAGTAGAGATAGGGTTTCACCATGTTGGCCAGCTGGTCTCGAACTCCTGACCTCAGGTGATCTGCTCACGTCAGCCTCCCAAAGTGCTGGGATTACAGGCATGTGCCCAGCTAAGCCTCAATTTCTTCATCTGTAGAATGAGGATTACAATGTCTCAGAGAGTTGTATTAGACTGATTGGAGATTTTGGATGTGAAAGTTCTTTTCAAAGCACAACATGCTGCCCTCATTGCATTTGGATAGAGATGCGTGCCGCCACTGTAGCTCTAAGTGACTCCTATGTGTCTAGACAGGTTCTCCCGGCAGCCTGGCAGGACCCTCCTCTCTGGGGACTGGAGATGTGATTGTGGGTGATGTCAGGGTGGAGATGGGATGAAGGTGAGGTGGCTGACCTCAGCTCTGTAGTTGCCCTCTTCTTGTGGACATCAGTGGGTGAGTGAGTGTCGGGCTCTGCCTGGGATGTGGGAAAGCAGTTTCGCCTGCTCCGGTTCCACCTACGGAGTGCACAGAATTGAAGGTCTAGATTTTGCATATTCTCTGAATCTTCCATGGTATCTTGTCAGTACCTAGCACATAGTAGATGCTCAGGGAACACATGCTGAATGAATGAATGAATGAATGCATACATACAGATTTAGAGGAAAAAACTGAGACAGCTTATTGGTTGGCTCAATCGCACCAGCAGGTGAAGCCCAGCCAGACTGATGTGCAGGATATTTTGTGACAGAAGACATCACTGCCACCCCTGGACAGCTGCCCACTCCTGGACAGGTGCCTACTCCTGGACAGGGGCCATTGTGTCTCTCACCCTCTTCCTCAAGTGTTCCTTTCATCAGCTACCCTTCGAGAGTTTCTGATTGCATGTGGATTACACGAGGAAGCTGGAGGGTGCTCTGGGAGCCACGGGCAGGGGAGGACTGTTGGGGTTTTCCGTCGTGTTCACGTATTTCTCTGCTGCCTGCATGCTAGTTAGTAAGAGCAGCAAGCTGGGAGGTGGAGTTAGACATGTCTCAGGGTGATTGCCACATTGGCTCTGCCCCAACTCTTCCTCTTTCCTATCACCAGGGTTTCCAGGCAGGCTCAGACCTGTGCCTCCCTCATGCCCAGTCCCCTCTGGGATAAAAACACTTCAGTAACCCCACAGATAGAATCTGGCATGTTTTCCAATTGGACTTGGGGTGAACCTTGTTTTCAGTGTCAGATAAATCAGAAGTTGGCTATAGAGGATTCTGTCTTTGATCATTTACCTGTCATCCATCAATTCACTCATTCATTCATTCACGTTTATTAAGTGCCTACTCCATGCCATGGATGGCATTCCCTGGGCTAGGTTTGCAGCTAAAAACAGAAAAGACACAGACCCTGTCCTCAAGAAGCTACCATTCTGGTGGCAGGCAACAAGTTTATAAAAAAATGTGGCTGATGAATGCACTTTAGGTTTAGAGGAGTTCACTGTCTTGGGGAATCCTTGCTTGGGAACTTGAAGCGTTTTATTGAGGCCGATGTTTTCACCTGAGCAGGAAGGAAGTCTGAGGGCAGAAGAGGTACCTGGGAAGGCTGAGGCCATGGAGATTTTCAGGCCTGAGAGCACTTGTTTACTGCTGTCCCGGCACGGTTCTGGGGCTTTGGGAAGCTTGTTGGCAGTTCCTGAGCCCCGTGTTTGGTCTGTTTTCCTCATCTCTCCCCTCACCCACTACCCGTCTGAGCTGGTCTCTCCATTTCTTACATTCAGCTCCTCGCATCTCTTGGGCTTTGGCGTGGGTCTGGGCTAGGGAGGTGGCTGCTGGGTTCTCAGCCACACTAAGGGAGGACTGAGAGGAGGAGAGAGACCTGGGGACGTGCAGGATCCCTGATATTTAACCCTTCTCTAGGTCACCACCCAGGCACAGACCTTCACCCCCAAGGTCAGGAGGGAAGCACCCTGTGAGATGGACAGGGCCTGGGGATGCAGCTTCCACCTCGGCAGGTACTGCTCGGTGGCCTCTCGTCCCTACACCCTCATTCTTTCTTGCTGTTCACATGCAGTTCCCTGTATCTGGAGCTCCTTCCTGCTCTCTCTGCCTGCAGAGAACCTGCTCATCTTTCAAAGTCCAGTGCAAATAGTTTCTCTTCCAGGACAATTTCCTGACGGCCCTAGAGAGAATCTATTGCCTTTTCGGCTCCAGGGCTACCTTGAAATCACCGCTGGTGTTATACTTGTCACACTCTGTTTTCAGCACCTGCAGGGTGGAACCTAGGTATTGTGTCCCCACAACTCCCAGCCCCATTTAGAGGCTGGCCAGAGCTTCTTTGGATAGTGGGGGTGTCACAGTGACATCAGGCCCTATCACCCAGGTGGCGTGGGATCCAGGAGAACAGGCAAACAAGGGGCCCCTCTTTGCCTGTCTTGCCCTTTAGGGCCTCCCACTGCCCGGCTCAGTTTACCACCTCAGAGCCTAGGATGGCTCCATTGGGGCTGAGTGGGCTCCTGGACTCTGTGCCCCAGTCAGAAGTGGACTCCGCAGGGCTCCCATAGGCTGCCCATTGGCTGGCTGCTGAGTGCCACATTTCGGAGCCCAGCCAAGCCCAGCCAAGCCCCTTGAGTCTGTACCAAGCTGGCACAGAAAAGAGAAGGCAGAGGGAGGACCCCCTTCCCCTAGAGCAGCCGGAAGTGTCAGAGGTGGACCTCAGGTGTTAACGACCACGTCTGGTGGCTCGGGGTGTATTTGGGTCTCCGGAACAGTAATGAGGCAAGGCCAGGATAGGCAGTTCCAGGGTCCCTGATTTCCCTCCAGGCCTCAGCTACACGGTAGATAGCATGGGGCACATTTCCTTCAGGGACAGGGCTTAGGCTCTGACCTCTGCCTTGGCCTGAGTCCCTACCCCAGCTCTTCTTGGCCATACCCGGCTTCATGGCTTCCAGGGAGAGCCATCCTTAAGATGCATCAGCTGGAAGGACTCTGACTGTGGGTGGGGACAGTGGGAGTGGGGGGGTGCTGTGGGGATGGAAGGAGGCAGGGAACTGAAGGGAAAGGAAAGCTGAGCCTGGCCACGGTAGATCCCATCCTCCCCTCAGGGCTGGGAGCTATGGCTGTCCTGGTCTGATGATGAGGAAGTGACAGGGTTATTAAGCACAGGCGTAATGGCTAGCTCCGGGGCTGGAAGCTTCCTTGACCGCACCCTGGAGACTGGCTATGCTGCTGTTTTGCCTTTGGGGCCCTAGGCCTGACCTGACCCCTCCACCACTCCTCCAGCAATGCCTGGCTCCTTCCCTGGTGGCAAAGCGTCCATGCTGGGTGTGCTACCCAGCTATCATTTCCTGGCATGGGCTCCTCTTTAGTCCTAAGTCCTTACATTTGTACGGAGTTTCATGGTTTCCAGAACCTATTCACATGTATTAGCCACGTCATCTCTCCGCTAGCCCTGTGCGTGTGCGCGGGGGTGTTGTGGGTCATATCGTCTCCGTGGACAGGAGATAAGGTAAGTCTCAGGAAGACGAATGCCTCAAGACAGCACAGCTAGTCAGGGAGCTGGCCTCAGCCTTCTGATTCTACAGTTAGTGACCTGTCCTAGAACCGATTCCCGTCTCTGTTGCTCCCCCAAGAGGCACCGCAGGTCTCCTCAGTGCCACCCGGAAGCAGCTCACAGCTAGGGAGGCTTCACAGTGCTCTCCTCACCCGGGATCCCTGGGGGATGCAGCGTCTCTGCACACAGGCCAAGCTTTGGGGCGCCTCCTTGGATGGGAAAGCAGGAAGCTTGTGCTTTGATCCTGGCTCAAAGGGAAGCCCCTTCCCCTTTTTGATCATCACTACGACAGCACTAGGAATTGTTCTTGCCGGAAGTTTTAGAAGAGTGTCATGGAAAGTGCTCACGTTGGGAATGGGAGACATTTACTTGAGGGGCCTCTGCAGGTCACATATGTTCCCCTTGGACAATGGTGTCTTCTTCCCTCTCTTCCCTTCCCTTTCACTTTGGTGGCTGGGCAATTGCTGCCTCTTGGCCAAGGATTGGAGAATGAAGACCCCCTGGGTTCCTCCTCAGACCCAGCTAGTATCTCTTCCCTTCCATGGTTCTCTGTTGTCCTTCTTGAAAGATGGGGTTGATTCTCTTTGCCCCAAGACAGCGAAGACACTCAGGTATTCAGAGGAGAAGGAGAAGAGAGGCTGAGGGCATGAAAAGAGACCAAGCAAAAGATCTACACAAATACCCTAGATTGTTTGGAGGCATCTCTGCACTGTTTTCTTTTCCTTTTTGAGGCGGAGTTCTGCTCTTGTTGCCCAGGCTGGAGTGCAATGGTGCGATCTTGGCTCACTACAACCTCAGGCTCCTGGGTTCAAGTGATTCTCCTGCCTCAGCCTCCCGAGTAGCTGGGATTACAGGTGCCTGCCACCACGGTCAGCTAATTCTTTGTATTTTTAGTAGAGATGAGGTTTTGCCATATTGGCCAGGCTGTTCTCGAACTCCTGACCTCTGGTGATCTGCCCACCTTGGCCTCCCAAAGTGCTGGGATGACAGGCGTGAACCACTTCGCCTAGCCTGCGCTGTTTTCTTTAAAAAGAAAAGGAATCAGTTTCCCCAGGGAGTGGCAGACGGCCACCGTGGCATCAAAACAGCCCCCTGCCTTGGAAAAATAGTGCCAACCTCTAATCAACAGACCTGGAGACACTGGGCAAAAGAACACGCAGGGTTCAGGAAAGAAGAGTCAGGAAGGACAGCCCTGGCTGTGTGCTCGGCTTCTTTGGTGGGCTGGTTCAAGGACCGTGGCCGTGGAGGGAGAGAGGGCGGCAGGTGGGTATGAAACATGTATAGGGCTGGGGTGTTGGGGGGGGGGATTTGGGTGTCGTCTTTTTTTTTAACCTAGAAGATGTCGCAAAATTCTCAGTTGATGACCTCTTAGGCTGCTTAAAAAGCCCTTTATGGGGAGACCCACCCTCCCCATGTCTTGGGGGCAGAGGGCCCCCACACTCACCATGCTGGCTCTGTGGTCGTCCAGGTCGTCTCCCTGTAGCCTGGAGCTGAGATCGTCACCCCAAGGCAGCAGGAGGGCCTCCCCGCACAGGTCCTGGCTGGCCAGCAGGTCAGAAGACCCTGGTCAGCACTGGCTGGAGGAGGCCCGAGTGCTGGGCGGACCTTGGTCCTTCAAGGTCAGCATCCTCGTTGTCCACCTAGCAAGCTGCTGCCTCTCGCCGCCGTATTCCAGGAGTGACTGGGGGACTGTTGGTAGCTCAATTAAAGCAGTCCGACAGGTGAAGTTGCCAAACTGGAATGATTATGTGTCTTGTAACCTGACGCCTGTCTTAGGGGCTGGGACAACACCTGAAGTCATTCATGGGCCCTTTGGCCTCAGAACAGGTGACACACCTAAGACGTCACAAAAAGCCTTCCCGCCTGAATGACTTCCACCCAACCGGGTGTTGGCTGAGGGTGATGCCAGAAGTTTCTGCTCCCCTCCCCCTACCTTCTAGGTACATGACTTCTCACTGTGTGTGTGCTTTGGTTTGGGATTGTGGAAAGTTGGAGTAGTCTGGGGGTTGGGCGACAGAATTTGCAGCTCAGTACAAAGGGATCATTGCCAGGTGTGGAGCAACATGATTGGAAAGTCCACAGAGAAGGAGGGAGTTTCACCTCTTAGGGGGATAAGATATGCCACCTTTTCCTGGATCCCAGAAGGGAAGCTGTCCTGCACAGAGCCAGCATGCTAGGGCTTCCTCTCCCTGCCTCACCGGCTGTTAAATATTTTGAAAATAACTATTGGTGCTATGGCTAGAGCCCAGGGCTCCTCATCTATGGGGTTCTTTTCTCTTCATTTCTCCTTCTTTTCTTCCTTCCTTCCTTCCTTCCTTCCTTCCTTCCTTCCTTCCTTCCTTCCATCCCTCCCTCTCTCTTTCTTTCTTTTCACAAGGTCTCATTCTATCCCCTAGGCTGGAGTGCAGTGGCATGATCTTGGCTAGCTGCAACCTCCACCTTCCAGGTTCAAGCAGTTCTCATGTTCCAGCCTCCCAAGTAGCTGGGACTACAGGTGTCCGCCACCACACCCAGCTAATATTTGTGTTTTTGTATTTTGTCTTATTTTGTTTTTTAGAGACAGAGTCTCACTCTGTCATGCCGGCTGGAGTGCAATGGCATGATCTTGGCTCGCTGCAACCTCTGCCTCCTAAGTTCCAGCCATTCTCCTGCCTCAGCCTCCTGAGTAGCTGCTGGGATTATAGGTGTGCGCCACCATGCCCAGCTAATTTGTATTTTTAATATAGATGGGGTTTTGCCATGTTGGCCAGGCTAGTCTCAAACACCTGGGTTCAACTGATCCACCTGCCTTGGCCTCCCAAAGTCCTGGGATTATGGCATGAACCACCGTGCCCGGCCCACAGGATCATTTCTGATTCACATTCTGCCATATCCTGATGGCTAGTGCTGTCTCCTGACCAGGGGATGTGCAAGGTGAAACCTTATAGCCACAGATATTTTGCTGAGAGGGATTTGGATAATTCTCCACTTCGTTCCTCCGTTCTGTGGGTGACAAAATCAAATTCCAGAGAGGTAAAGTCAGTGACCCAAAGGCATATCATGAATTAGTGTCTGGTTCCAAACGAATCCAGATCTCCTTCCATTTCTCAGACCCGACCCTCCCTGGGGACCAGTCTGGGTTAGACATGTATGTTAGTCCTTCTGCTGACAAGGTGCTTCTGTGTGTCAGCCCTTTAATTCTCCAACAACAACCACCTCCATATTTAGTTCCCACTTGCCAGCTGAGGAAATTATAGCTCGTGGACATGAAGTAGTCTTGGGCAGAGTTGGGGCAGGAACCTGGTTCTCTTACTGGTTCACGCTGCCGGCCTTGTGAACAGGCTGAATGGACCCCAAGTGTCTGAAAGGCCAGGGTTCATGGTTTGGGATAAAATGGCCCATGGAGGACCCCAGTGATGTCTGAGCAGGAGGAAAACCAGGTCAGTTTAATGGACTGTTGGCCAAATCTCAGCTGATGAATGCAGTGTGGCCTTGGACTGGTCTCTGAGCCGCAGAGATCTGAAGCTGGCCTGCAGGCTTCTGGAGTCAGCACAGCCCCAGCCTGTCCTTACTCTAGGCTGGTGGTCTTTAGAATTGGAAGTCTGGGGCAGAGGCAAGAGCCTGTGATCTCAGGTGACCTCAGGGATTGGGCTGTGATGATCCAGGCAGACACCTCCCATGTAAGGAAGACTCCAGGAGCAGGGCAGTGAGAAGCCAGTGGGCCACTGGGAGACACGTTTTCAGTTGTCTTGGCTCCTCTATGTGCCAGGCTAACCATCTGGCCCACAGGTTTGCATTGCTTCACCTGGTGCTCAGGTGATGAACCAGGAAAGAGACAGCTGTCTGGGCTTGAAGGCTGCTGGGCATGGCTGGTTGGAGGGATGATGACTCAGCCCTCCTGGCTTCTGCTCCCCATTGGGTCTGGAATTTTGTGGAGAGGCCTGGGAAGAAGGCACATGAGCAGGGCTGGGCAGGGTGGCTGTGGTGCCTGTGGGTGGGGTGCAGGTTTACAGGGGGAGGTACGGTGGCCTGGAGAGACCAGAGGCCCACTTCTCCCAGGTGCCAGGGAAAACCACCCTGACCAGAGCCTCCATTCTTTTTTATTTTCTGGACAGGGTCCCACTCTGTTGCCCAGGCTGGAGTGCAGTGGTACAACCTCAGCTCACTGCAACCTCCACCTCCTGAGCTCAAGGGATCCCCCAGCCTCAGCCCCCCAAGTAGCTGGGATTACAGGTACGAGCCACCATGTCCGGCTAATTTTTGTATTTTTTGTAAAGACAGGGTTTCATCGTGTTGGCCAGGCTGGCCTCGAACTCTTGAGCTCCAGTGATCCACTCACTTTGGTTTCCCAAAGTGCTGGGATTACAGACATGAGCGACCGTGCCTGGCCCAGAACCCCATTCCCCCAGAGGAAGCCTCAGCTCCCCCTCGGCCCCGTCCTGCCTGCCTCTTTCTCTTTCCCACCCATCTATTTAGATTCTCCTCCTGTTTTTCCACTCTTCTTTCCCTCCCATTACTACTCTTTTATCTCTTCCTCTTTATTTTTGACAATTCTTTTCTCTTCCTTCTTCCCTTTCCTTATCTGTTTCCAGCATATGTGTCAAGATCAGAGGCGGAGTAATGAAACCAATGAAGCTGAATCTTCAGAGCCCATCATTTGCACAGCTCCTTTCAAGGCCCTGGGAAAGGGCCCGGCAATGAATTCACATGATCACATGTTTTTGTAAATTTTGCTGAAGATTTCCTTCATATGCTCTTTCTTCAAGAGACCCCCTCACGAGGTGGCCTATCCCTGTAAGTGAAGACCAGAGCCTTCCTCACCCAGGCTGGCCCCACACAGGTGATCTCAGTTTTAGGACCAAGAGCCGTGCTGGTTTCCTAGTTTGTTAGCTTTTCCTCCAGGGGACTGCAGCAGGTGGAGCTCAGAGCCCGTGGCTCCGCTAACAATGACTTGTGTTCCGGGTCTTTTCCAGCTGAGAGCTTCATGCACACCAGATTCTGAGAAGTGTCAGCAGCACTTGAAGAAACTTTGTTGTTTGTATTCTGTGAGGTTTCTGGACTGTGGACCGAGCTCAGACACTTTCTGTAGAAGAATATCATTTCTGTCAAGATGGTTATTTAACCCTCCACCCCACCATGGCAGGGCTGCTGAGGGCTTACCCAGAGGCCAAGGGAGCTCGCTGGTGTCCACAGGGGAGGTCCAAGACCTTTTGCCCCAGCCCTCCTGCCTTGCACAGCACAGAGGCAGTCACCCCAGGGACAGCCGGGTGCCAGACACTCAGCTGCCCTTCCTGGAGGAGGAGGCTGCCTTCTGTCCTTGCAACTACTTTCCTTATGGGCCTGCCCAGACTTGTTTGAAGCTGCCCTGGTAGCTTTATTTATTTATTTATTTATTTATTTATTTATTTATTT